GTGTTTATGCTTTAGTTCTGGCAAGCAGTACCTTCTTTGGCCCGCATCTTGCGTACTTTTATCGCCAACATTACGTCAGCGGCAATCGACACAACAAGCAATAGCCCTTCCACAGCTACCGCTATTATCCATGGCAACAAGGAATTCCCTTCGCATCCTTTTACAACTGGAATTGAATCTGGTCCTAAAATATTCAAGAAAAATAGTGAAAGAAGGAAGGCTCTTTCATCATTTTCCCTTTTAACTGACGTTCTATATTATTATTAAGAATTTAAAAATTGGTTTTTTGTCGCACAAAGGTTTCCCAAATTAAGTTTGGGCATTAACTCGGAGACAAAGGATCTTCGTTGATTGTGATTAACCAGCATAATGTTCATAAAAGCTGATGGCCATTACCTCGAAGAACAAATCGCTGACAGTTGTCTTGAACATTATCTGAGCAGTTAGAAGAAAGGCAACAAAAATATGACCCAAGATCAGAGTTCCGCACGTCCGTTATATTCAGCACGCCGCTGCGATGAACATGGTATTTTCCATCAGAGCCATCTTACGTAAAATAAAATGAATGAGTAAGAATTAATGATTCTATTTGGAATGCACATTAATATCTTAGAAACTGAAGTTGTCCACGCAGGTAAAAAGATTACAGTCATGCATATCGAATAGATTTTGACACGTTATTATCAAATCAAGGCATAAATATTTTAGTCACCACCTTACAACGGACTGGAATAGTAATGGGAGACGGGGATGGGAGGGGTGGAAATGATTGTTGAAGTGCTTTATTATTGTATTTAAACTCACCCAGGGTATTCACTTGCTACTAAAATAATTAAATATAGATGGTAAGAAAAGATCTTTTTATCTTACTGGTTATGAAAGGTTGTACGAAGTCCTCACCGTCCTTCTGAACCTTCCATTCAACATGAAGAGGAAACCCTTGGGCCGCACACTCGAGTGAAGCGTTATCTCCTTTCTTAACCGTCACGTTAACAACTTTTATTGGCTTGTGAAACCCCGGAGTAACTGTTAGCAAGCAAGAATAACGCATGTCTACACAGATGTTATAAATATAGTAGTTACCATTTTTGAGTACTTCAAAATCCGCTCAACTTAGGGCGTGTTCGATCACCGTATTTCGAAAAAAAAAAATAATAAACGGAACAAATTCTAAGAAATAATCACTCATTTGGGCGTTGAATGAATGAATGATGAATGAATGATAACTTTATTTATACAAGGTTAAAAACTCAGTCTAACATAGAGAATTAATTAAAAATTCTCAAAAACTGTTGTACATATTTGCCGTGTGGAAGTACTGATCAGAAAACCATCTATGGGAACTTCTTTTAAAGAGACCTAAGGAATTTGATGTACGTATTTCCTCAGGAAGATTGTTCCATAGAAAAGCGCCACTGTAAATAAAGCTACGCTTCAGGTAATCATTTAATGGTTTTGGGAGCATTAATTTTTTCTTCGCGTTGCGAAAATAGTAATTCGGTGTTCTTGGGGCAAAGGAGTTACAGAGATAAGCTGGGGCGAGATTATTAATGAACTTGTACATTAAATTGGCCTTTTTTTTTAGCTCTTCTAACTGATAAATTGTCCCAACCAAGCGAGTTAAGAAGAAATCTGGAACTAGTATCATAGCTAGATTTGGTAATAACTCTGATAGCACGATTTTGAAGTTTTATGAAGTTTCTCACTAAGCTGTTGGGTCAAGCCTTCCCATACAGAACTGCAATAATTGAAGTGTGGCTCGATAAGACCTTTGTATATGTTGATTGCAGTGTGCATTGAAACAAATGGCCTGACCAGCTTAAGAGCACCGATACCAGAGGATACTTTTTTAGAGATTTCATGAATGTGGGCCTTCCACGAGAGATTTTCATCAATGATAAGCCCGAAAGATTTGCTTTGATTGCTTTGGTTTACTAGGACGCCGTCCATATGAATTTTCATTGTGTAGTCATTTAAAAGGACTGTAGTTTCTCCCTCGAGCTAATAACCATAAACTCTGTTTTGGCGACATTGAATCTTAACTTTTTAGCTTTGAACCAACGATCAACGTATTTCAGGTCACTATTGATTTGGAACTCAAGATCGGGAATAGTAGCTGCAGAAAAGGTAACATAAGTGTCGTCGGCATACATTCTAGGAGAGCCTTGAGGAGAGCCCACATTCAAACGATTTGGTAGATCATTTATATGCATCAAGAAAAGAAGAGGACCGATAATTGACCCTTGAGGTACGCCACAATTTAGAGGGCCGCGCTAGATGGATGATTGTTTACATTACACCTTTGCATACAGTTAGTTAGATAAGTTCATTGCTTTGCAACAACTGGATATCTGCTTGAACTAAAACCAGACATCATGGCAGACATAATGTAATTTATGTCAAGGCATGGTACTTACATGATAACTCGCTAGGTCAGGCAGTACCAGGTACTGCAAATCTTGCCAACGAGGTTAAAGGGCGGTGTCAGGGTTAAGTAAGTATACTGAGGTATTTACCCAGTAATTCTTCCTTCTCTCCCTCGTCATCAACTCGGTCAGATCTCGAGCAAAATCTTTCCCTCCTCCTCCCCTTTCACTTGCCTGCAGGTTATTATTGTGGCGGTATTTCCTATTTCTTATTTTTTTTTATTTTCTTATTTAGCTGTGTAGTTTGTGGCGGATTTTTGTCGCCTCATTTTTTATTCAGTAGGTTAATTGGTTTACATATATCGATGTGTTGTGATTCTGTGAGCTTTTGATTTCATTAAGCCTGCCAATATAACCGTGGCCAGATTTACCCAACACAGTTGTCTGGTTGTATTTTAAATCTGTTCGTTATCGGAAAGTACGTGGCCGGAAATGCAAGGAGAGCTCGCGCAGAGTTAGGCCTTGTTTTGAACACATGCCTTGATATAAAAATACAGTCAACTCTCTCTAAGAAGAGCATCTTTGGGATCGGTACTAAATGTCCATTTAAGAGTGACGTCTGTCTTATATACAGTGAAATAAAGAGAATAAAGAGAGGTACGGACCAACTCTAGGTGTCCGTTTTAAAAGAGGTGTCCGTCTTATAGTGGTGTCCGTTAAGAAAAAATAAGCGTTGTAAACTTACGACACATTAAGCCTGCAGTATATTGAATAAAATAATACAGACGTTCTAGCACATTTTTGCACACTAAAAGAGAATGAAGGAAATAACTCCGTGTGTGACAAACCAGCTAGTGACAACGGTCAGGAAATTAGAAATTTTCTATTCAAGTATACCATGAAAACTTACTTTTAATGATGGTACTATCAGACACAATGTGTAGTTTGATATTTCGTAGCTCTACTTCCAGAAGACAGGTGTAGTTTCCACCATCTCTACTTCTATCATTAGCAAGTATCAGAGCCCCAAGGGTATCCCGCGGCTTAGTCGGGTCAGGATTTCGCAGAGTTTGCTGTAACACTCCATCCTTATACCATGAAATCCTAATCAGTCTACTACGTGTGGCTTGCTTGCCTTCAGTCATATTGCAAAAGATTGTAATGCTTTCACCAAGTTGCAGCACTCCGAAGTTTGGTACAGACACGCAAGGGATCTCGTCTTCTAAATAGAAGAGACGTTAAAAAAGACACTAATAAAGATAAAAATTCAACAAAAATCTCTTAATCCGAAACCATGGCAAAATTGACAAATGAATTAAACCAATAGAAATTGAGAAAATTAACAAGCACAAAAAGTATGTTTTCAAATGGTACACGTCAGTAAGCTACTTTAAAAAAACGCAGAGGGAGAGGGATGAGCGAGATAGATCATTCTAGGTACACGTTTTGGTAACAAATAATTTATGAATTTTATGTGGCATTTTTCAAGTTAACATGGGGTATCTGATATTTAGTGATAGAAAAATATTTAAAAAACTTGTAACATGGAAGCTTCACCCACCCTCCTCCAACAGAGGAATACAGCCACTACTTACCAAAACTGTACGAGGGTAGATTTCCCACCGTCGCGTAATGATTAAGTGCCCACGCGTGTAAAATTTACGTGTGTAAGTAAAACTGAGGCAAAATATGAAAGGTCGCCAATAAACGTAAAAGTTGAACCTCTCTCATCTTTCACGTTTACGCAAGGCACTTAATAATAATAATAACAATAATAATAATAATAATAACTGTTTATTCACAAATCCAGATCGGAAAGTGAAAAGGAGATAAAAGAGGCTATCCCTTTCTAGTTTATCCCCTGATAATAAAATACTTAAAGAAATAAATTATTTACAACTGTTTAAAATAGTAACTAAATATGTATATAAAACATCACATAGTAAAAGAACTTATTGTTCACTAGGAAAATCTTTAAGATAACGTCTCAGTCTGTTCTTGAAAATATTCAAATTCTCCGCCTCAGCAACTTCCTTTGGGAGATTGTTCCACTTATCTATTATGCGTATAAAAAAAGAATGTGTAAAACTATTTAAAGTTGCTGATGTAAGCTTAAGTTTAAAACGATGGTTGGCTCTTAAGGGCCGAAAATCATGTGCAAATGTGTAAAATGCCGAGGGATCAAGTCCATTAAGTCTATTTATTGTCTTATAACACTCGATAAGCGACGAAAATATTCTTCTTTGTTCAAGTAATGGCCATTTAAAGAGCTTTAGGCGTTCTTCGTACGGCATGTCTTGCCCAATATTTCCAAGGGCGCATTTAGATGCTCTACGTTGTACTTTCTCCAAGGTGTTTAAGTCTTTTTTAAGGTGCGGCCACCAAACTGGAGAGCAGTACTCGAGTATCGGACGTACTAGACTCTTATAAAGTTTTGAAAACAACTGAGGATTTTTAGGACCCACCGTTCGCCTAATGAATCCAAGCACACTATTTGCCTTATTTGCGCATTTGTTAGCTTGCATACTCCATGACAGGTTGGAAGTAATATAGATTCCGAGATCCTTAACTTCAGATACAGCTTTTAATTGGTCATACATTTCTTCTGTTACAAGCGTAAAAATTACGTGCATACGCGCGTAAAACTTGCGAGACAGTAAAAATCCACCTTATCATGGGTATAAATCTGCTAGTCCGTCTTGCAGTGGGTTATACAGAGGCCGGAAGGCTCCAACTCTTAAAAAGAAGTATCTTTCGTAGTTTATTTATTTAACTGTGCTGATGAACAGCTACTGCACTAACTTAATATCGTTTCTAGAAAATTATGGAACAAATTCTATCGTGGGTGGCAAACGTTCAAAGGTTAAGCTGCCAACACCGAACGACTGCTCAGCCACGTAAATGACTTACTTCTGATGACATTGACACTAAATCCATGTTTTCTCCCCAAAGGGTCACCAACTGCAAAAGCATGACACTCGTACCTTCCCAGTGCACCATACGTACTGTCATCATTCAGTGTTACATACCGAATAACCATGGTTACAAATAGCTTCGGTAACCTCTTGCCACCTAGAAACGGAAGGGTTAATTTTAGGGTAAGCTGAAACTGAAGCAGTTCACGGTTTTGTCTGTGATTTAAATAAAAAGGAATTTTTTTAAAAAATTCTAATCAGCTTGTTTAATTCTTTTCATATAAGAGTTTGAAAGTCAACGATAAGGCTCTCTTCAGGCCTGTGAAATATCGTTTCACCGAAAGTTTCATGTCACATCTCGCTCTCACCAAATTTCGTAATTAAGTTTTGTTTATGACTAAACGAAAAATCTGAAAGAAAGTTCTCTTAGGGCGAACTTTTGCACTGAAGTTATAAGCAATTAATCTCTTAAAAAGTCAAAAAAAAAAATTCATTTTGGCCTTTTATCGTTTTTTTGCTTTGTTTTTGTTTTTTAAGAAGAAGTGCCTCTATTTACCCTACACTCTCACACGTAACCATTACATGCAGGAGATCAAGCAAGCTCTGTTGAAAATTAATCAAAAGGCGGACTTCCTGTTTTACGAACTGATATAAAATCTATGTCTTAATCACATACTCTTTAACTTTATTCTTAAGCATGTTGTTCGAAATTATGTTTCTTATATTTGAGGGAAGGTTGTTCTATTTCTTTGTTCCCTTAAAACCTATAGAATATTTGCTATAGTTAGTTTTTCCAAATTCAACCATGATGTATGTTTGATGCGGATCGCGTATTGTAGGAATGTATACTTTTATTAGTAAAATTACTCACCTTGATCTGCCCGCAGAGTCACGTTCTCTTCAAAATAAAAGTTGTCGGTAGCTGTTATATTTGTGTAGCGCTCTAAATTATCTTTTCTCATAAACTGTATTCTTTCGGGAGTTTTCAATCCTGATGGGTCAAAAGCTACACAAGTAACTTGAGCTGAATTACCCTCGATAGGATAAATGTTTGTAGGGAAGGGTTCTTGAATTGCAAATTGATCTGCAAAGGAAAACAAAGTATATTGACAATAAATTATTACAATAATTACATCATGTAAAAGTTAAATAATACACGTTCAAGTAACTTGAGCTGAATTACCCTCGATAGGATAAATGTTTTCAGGAAATGGATCAATGATGCAAAAATTACCCTGAGCTGATATTAAAGGGAACAAGGAGGTACTAGGTAAGAATAATTTGCACTAAACACTGACTAACATTATTTTTGTAAGCAAAAATGATGTGTCGGGGATCACAGTTACAATTTCACTGATAAAGAGCGTCTTGAACAGGGTGTGTTTTCAAACCGGGAGCCTTTAAAAGAGTCGAAAAGAGTGTCAAGATTGGCGATGAGCAGTCTCCATTTGTGGTACTAACAGTTTTTCCAAAAAAAAAAGAATAATAATAAATTGATAAAAATTCCATAATGGCAGTTAAAAGTTGTCCAATTCTGTATGTGAATAAGGTTCTCTTCTTTTAAATAAGATTGCGACATGACTGGATTTCAGTCTTCGGCCGGTTTAAACAGATTTAGGGTTCGAAATGGGTTACAAAATTATAGCTCATCAAACTACGTTTTGCCGGATGTAAGAATAGTTTAAGTTAGTGTGTGTTTTCTTTGGTAACTTGCTCCTGCATGATCATATAGACTAAAACTTATATTTAGTACTTGAAGTCATTTCAGTCCTGTTAAAAGCAGTCTTTTCTCAAGTCTCTATATTTGAAAAATAAAATAAAACTAAAAATCAGAAAAATCACTTTCAAGTCTGACGAAAACCATACCCGATTTCAGATCATAATGGATAAACTCTAATGCCCGTGTTCAGACCCTCTACTACTAAAAGCTCAGTTAAACAGGGGCGGATCTAGGGGAAGAGTGCAGGGGGTGCGCACCCCCACCTGAGATGACCTGCGGTTTTCTAATACAGCTGTTATTCTGCCAAAAAAAAAAAACTATGTGGTTTATTGGTGTTGAAGTAGAGCAAGAGACGAGTGCACCCCCTCCTAGAAAAAATCCTGTATCGGCCCCTGCTAAATGATAGTATTCCCCGCCGCTGTCTGTCCGTTACTATTGGACGCTATGTCCCAAAGTATTTCTACTTCTTATCGTCGAGAAAGCTGTAAACGAATCTTTTTTTCTTTCTTTTGTCAGTTCCAAATAAGCATCTTCTTCAGTCGAAAATAAAACATGAGTTATTCACGTTATCCAGGAGCCACAGTGTAATCCTGACACTTGCACCTTTAAACTTAGTGTAGTTTATCTTTTCCCTTTTTCTATTTAATTTCTATCTATCCTTCCTTGTAGCCATAATTAAGATGCTTAAAATAAAGGATAAATTAGCAAATATTCTCGAATTATTTTCAAGTGTAGAGAAGGTAGAGACACCTCCAATATGTATGACAGTATATTACAAAATAAAAAGCATCGTGACGTGATCTTTTTTAAGATCGCGATTCACTTTGTCGTCTTAACTTTCAAAGCTAAAACGCTTTGATCTCAGTTAATTTGTCAGTAGGTTCCGTGTTACTTTTAAGGTTTATGCGTTGTCCCTTAAAATTCCCGACAAGATTTTTCGAGAAACAAAATTTGAGGGAAAAAAATAAATCCCTCCTGTAAGAAATCACGAAATAGAAACATAAAAAAAAAGTAATCAATTTTCTTTACAAGGTAGACCTGATATACTCGTCTGAAGTTGGCTTTTGAAGTGAATGTGTAATAAAGATTAAAATTCTTACGCAGCGTGGTCACTTAATGTTCGTGAATTTGAAGATTGTAATGATCGACGCTGTTACTAAGAGTCTTTACCGACGTTTTGGCAATAATGCCTTCTTCAGGGTACAAGACTAAAAGAAAGGCAGTAATGAAAGGAAAAACTGAAGTGATTACCTTTATAGCAAAGTATTTTAAAGAATTCCAAAAAGGAAATTGGGGAATGTTCCATGCATAGGGCTGAACATTTTTCTGGAATTTTTTTTTTTTTTTAATTGTATAGACAGTTATGATAAAGCATGGGACCTATTAGACCGCGAGCAGTCCCTCTTCAGTCATTCGAGTCTAAGCTCGGCAGGACTGAAGAGAGCGAAATGGCAGAGAGGGAAAGAAAAACATTAATTAATGGCTGAGGAGATTTTTCCTTGTAACCATAATTACGATGCTTAAGATAAAAGATAAATTCGCCTAGGTTGTCAAATTATTTTCAAGTGTAGAGAACGTGGAGACACCTCCAATATGTATGACAGTATATTACAGAATAAAAAACATCGTGATCCTTCCCTTCAAGATCTCGATTCACTTTTCAAAGCCAAAACTCTCTGACCTCATTTCTCAGTGGGTTTCGTGTTACTTTTGGGGTTGATGAGTTGTCCCTTACAATTCCCGACAAGATTTTCTGAGAAAAAGAATTTGAGGGGGAAACAATAGAATTCCCCACTGAGTAAGAAATCTCGAAAAAGAAACATTATGGGGAGCCGATCATTCAGTTTTAAATTAAAAGTGACACGTAACCATTTTGTTTACAAAATAGACTGAATGCACTTGTCTGAAGTTGGCTTATGAAGTGATTTCTTTGATAGCAAAGTATTTTAAAGAATTCCAATAGGAAGTTGGAGAATATTGATGGCCATGCATAAGACGGAAACGTTTTCTTATAGAAACTTTGATTATTTTCTTTTTTATTGTTACGCTAGTAAAATACAATAAAAAATTATGAAAAAGCATAGGACCTGCCGTAGGAGAACATTAATAACTGAAGAATTTTTATAAAAAAAGTTGATTCAATTTACGGTTTATTCAACAGCCAATTTTATTTAATTGGCAATTTTATTTAATTAGTTTATTCAATTGGCGGTGATTCACTTGCATTGCAGTTCAGGGCATTAAACAAGACAATAGAATTAACACCACTTCTAGTCCTACCTTGAGCATTTACTTCTAGATAAATTAATCAAAACCCAGATCATCCCCCTGGCCTTTCAGAAGTGGCCATCATGGTACATGCAAGTGTTCGAATGGGCACACAATACTAATTACGGCGACTCATTGTATGGCAAGTTTAAACGAAATCGAGGATGTAAATCTTTATTGTTTCTTACAGTGAAGGCGCAGAAGTCAACTTCGTCCTATGCTTTACGAAACTGACAAGAATGTCTACATTCAAGTATAGCCGTTTTCAGGTCAGTTTGGGCTGTATCCATAACTGCCTAATTAATGGATGCTGATCACCATAAAGGGAAATCTATTAGCCATGAGTCTTGGAAGAGGACAATATCCCTCTTACGATGTTAACTTTTCTGAAACTTAAAAATGAAAAACAAGATCCGACACTTAGTAGACTAACAGTGTTTGGAAGAGTTTTAGAAGATGTTAATTCAATCTACTATTTTGATGTCCATTCAACTGACTCTACTTAGTTTCGAAGCAAGAGATGTACGCACGTAGGCTACGACGGGTACTGTTCATTGCAAATTTGAAATTTTATTTTACATCGTTTAACCTTAAGTAGATAAATTTAGAAAGAGCCTTGAGAAGGACACGATCCTTTTACTCACTTACTACGAAAACTGTAGAAAAAAATTCACTAAATATATCATTTTTCAAAGTGCTACTGAGACGCTGAACATATTGCTTTTATGTCTTACCTTTTTATTTATTTGTTTGTCTGTTTATTTTTTTAAACTTTTAATCCACAAATTATTTAACTTAAGGGCAGATTCATGTGACTTTTGAGGAAAAGGCTAAGTTATTTTAGAGTGAAACATCTTACATCGAACTGATAACCTTATATGTACACCCAAAAAATAGCAAACATCTTCGATCACATTCAAGATCACAGTAAATTAGGCCTCGAAAACAAATTCTTGGAAAACAAATCACGCCAAATTTTTTTGCGTTCGACAGGTTTACTTTACAAATTCTTGCCAACAAATCTGGGGGTGTTTAAACCAACCTTTTATAATTTTTATACACCACATTTGAGGTGAAACAGTACTATTTATCATACAGAGCTCGGAGAGAATGCGGTATTTCACAATTTTTCAAGACAAATTGCACTCAGTCAATATTCAGGAAGAGCCAAACCGTTCAAAAATTTCAGAAAATTTCCAAAATCACCCATACGGCCAGCTGGTTCTCGTTTCTATAGTGCAAGCTGTCAGTGTGGTCGAGTATTTGAATGAACTTTAACAGAGTTACGCTTCAACATAATAGCGAATTTATTATTATTTGTTTTGTTATTTAATGGTTTCAGTTATAACGATGTGTAATCTTATAAAGCGTTTGATACGCGCGACATTTTTGAGTACTCCTGCAAGCGATGGTCATGAACGATGAAAACAAACGGCACGGACAAGCGATTAAAATTGCAAGAGAGACTACTAACAATCAAAAAAAAGAGATACAATTCCGTGAAACATTTACAGAGACAACAATTTTCATTCATGAAGACAAGTATTAAAGTGTCTCTAAAAATCCTGAGTCTAAGCGTAAAGCTTAAGTTTATGTTTTAGCCGGCTTCCCGGCGCGGTGTTTACTGTTTTTGGAGGTGAACTCCTCGAAGCAAGAAAATCGCTCAAAGTTTTCTTTCTACAGCCAAATTTATAACTAAATATTCTTCGGAACGTTTTCTTTCTATTTATGGTGAGGACTGAATATATCTGAAGGCTTTTTAAAGTTCTGTAAGCTTATATCAAACCTGATACTAGGTCAGATCATTGACTCAAATCCTGCAAACGTGCATGTACACTTGCCGCATAAACTGTCAGCGTGAACTGTGCAAGACTTCATGAAACACAAACATCAAATACAATAATTGCTTAGGCTTACCATTCGAGATTCAGTTCCTGGAAGCTAGCAAGGGAGGCCACAGTTGCTTGAGACTTTTAAACCCTCTTACGCATAAAAGCAAGGTGAAAAACGAAAACGATGCCCTCCGAAATCGAATTACCGAATTTTGACAAGCGACGCATTTCTCAACCAAAACCCAGTAAAACAAACCAGCCATGAATA